GGCAGGAGACTCACTTGAGCCCAGGAGTTGGAGGTTGCTGTGAGCTGTAATGCCACAGCACTCTACCCAGGGGGATAGCTTGAGGCTCTGTCTCAAATAAATAAATAAATAAATAAATAAGTTTCCTGTTGCTCCCCCAGGAAATGAGGCCTCTAAGGCTCTAAGTGTTTCCTGTTGTCAATCAGGCATGTCCTGCTGAAGACAGGGATAAGATGAGGTGAGAACTTCTGAGGCTGGGGAGCATATGATAAATCCCACACCACCCAGGACTATGTCTGACCACCATCCACCTCCTGCCAAGCTCCCCAAGGACCTGAAACCCCACAGGGCTGACAGAGCATGGGAGGCCACTGAAGAGACACCTGTCTTTCCTCATGGGCATTTGGGATCTAGAGAAGGGGCCAGGATTGTGAAGGCTTTGAATCTTTGTAGATCCAAGAATGTCCTGTGAGCCAGGAGAGAATATATCCTGACTTCTGAGTCAGAATAACAACTCTCTTGCGAATTGTCTTGTGGTGTCCAGAATTTGTTCATTTTCTTTGACTTTGTTTCAGTCAGATTGGGCGCTCTCTCTCTCTCTCTCTCTCTCTCTCTTTTCTTTTCTTTTCTTTTCCTTTTTCTTGTGACAGAGTCTCATTCTGTTTCCCCAGGCCAGAGTGCCATGGGCTCAGCCTAGGTCACAGCAACCTCCAACTCCTGGGCTCAAGCAATCCTCCTGCCTCAGCCTCCTGAGTAGTAGACTCCGACAGAGTTTCACTTTATCTCCCTTGGTAGAGTGCTGTGGCGTCACACAGCTCACAACAACCTCCAACTCATGGACTTAGGCGATTCTCTTGGCTCAACCTCCTGAGTAGCGGGGACCACAGGTGCCTGCCACAACACCCAGCTATATTTTGTTGCAGTTTGGCCGGGGCTGGCTTTGAACCCGCCACCCTCAGTATATGGGGCCAGCGCCCTACCCACTGAGCCACAGGTACTGCCCCCTATAAACTTTCTAAGTCTTTAAGACTCTATAATCTCGGACAGGGTACAGTTGCTCATTCCTGTAATCCTAGCACTCTGGGAGGTCAAGGTGGGTGGATTACCTGAGCTCAGGAGTTCAAGACCACCCTGAGCAAGAGAGACCCCGTTTCTAAAATATAGCTAGGTGTTGTGGTACTAGCTACTTGGGAGGGTGAGGCAAGAGGATCACTTGAGCCCCAGAGTTGAGGTTGCTGTGAGTTCTGATGCCATGGCAGTCTACCACAAGTGAAAAAGTGAAACTCTGTCTCAAAAACAAAGACTCTACAATATCTCCCAGAGAAGCTTGAGTTCCTGCCATCCCCTTTGCTCTTTTTCATGCCATGAAGCTTATGTATACTGATGTGTGCAGAATGGCAGTTACAGGTGTGGAGTGAGATGAGGTGTTCACAGGTGTCTGTTCTCTCGCGCCTTTTTCTATTCCCTGTGGATTCGCTGACTATAAGACAGTTTTCAACATCTCTAAACATACACATTCCTTTCCTTTCTTACTGTAGTAAAATTTGCATCACATGCTAGTTATCATTTTAACTGTTCATAAGTGTACAGGGCAGGGGCATTAAGTTACATTTTTTTTAATGCTGCAGAACCACCACTTCTGTCTACACCCAAACCTTTGTCTTCATCCCTGTGTTAGTTCAGGTTCTCCAGAGAGACAGAACCAATAAGACATATGACTATGCGTCCATATTTATGGATACAGACATTAATGTACAGATACAGATACAGATAAATGTCTAGAATGAGATTTAGTCTCAGGAATTGACTCATGCCATTACAGAGGTTGAGAAGCCCCATGAGCTGCCATCTTTAAGCAAAGGGAAGCCAGAGGCATAAATTCTAGTCCAAGACCAGGAGAAGACCAGCTTCCCAGCTCAGGCAATCAGGGAGAAAGAGAGAAATTAATGTTCCTCTGCCTTCGGTTCTGTCCTGCCCTCCACAGAATGCCCACCTGCATCAGAGAGGGCAGTGGGCTTTATTCAGGCCACTAATTCAAATGCTGTCCCTCCGGAAACACCTTCACAGACACACCCAGAGATTGTGTTTAACCAGATATTTGGGCATCCTGTGGCCCAGTCAAGGTGACACATAAAATTAAGAATCACAACCTCCAACATAAACTTTGTCCCTCTCGACCAATAACATCTCTTTCCCCCCTTTTCTCTCAGCCCCTGGCAACCTCTATTCTACTTTTTATCTCTATGAATTTGCCTATGCCAGGTACTTTATATGAGTGGAATTGTACAATATTTGTCCTCTTGCGCCTGTAAAATAATTACAGAGGATAATATCTTCCTAGCATGTGTCAGAATTTTCTTCTCTTTTATGGCTGAATAATATCATGATAGATGCATAGATCACATTTTTATTCATCTGTTGATGAATATTTCGGTTGTTCTACCTTTTAGCTATTCATTACTTCCTTTTTCAAAACATAAAATGTCTTTTTTTTTTTTTTTTTGCCCAGGCTGGGTTTGAACCCGCCACCTCCGGTTGTTCTACCTTTTAGCTATTCATTACTTCCTTTTTCAAAACATAAAATGTCTTTTTTTTTTTTTTTTGGCCCAGGCTGGGTTTGAACCCGCCACCTCCGGCATATGGGGCCAGCACCCTACTCCTTTGAGCCACAGGTGCCGCCCTAAAATGTCTTTTTTTTAATTGGCTTATAAATGTAATATTAGCACAAAGGCCTAGCAACTTCCCTTTTTTACTACTAAGACAAAAACCTATTTACTCCATACAGGGGAAAAAGAGGAAATCTCTTAGGAAGATGGCTCTAACCCACCTTCTCTGAGTTAGAGCAATCTCTGTATTGTGGTGATGTTCATACTGGGGCTTAATGTTAATTTTAAAGAGATCTTAGCAACTCAGGCAAAACAGTACCCACTACATTTGGGGATTTATGGCAGGGTGGCCCTGAATGGTCACTCAGAAGTTTCTTAGACAATTGATTTTGAATATCTATGCTGCATTCTGGAGACTGGTTGGGCAAGGTGGTGATGTGGCCCCAGGCAGGTGCTTGGAGCTCATGAAGGATTCTCTTACAGGGCTATGTGTTAGCCAAAGAGACATAAGGGGAGATGGTGAGTGTTTCTTCAATTAAACCCTCCTTGATCCTTCACCCCAAATTCCCCAGTCCCCCTTTCCCTTCTCTTTCTTTAAATGGGCTTCCTGAGAGCAGGTGAGTGAGTCAGACCCAGCCCCGGGCTCTGCATCCTTCCAGGGTCACTGCCCAAGCCCTCTCTCACTGCCTGGCCCAGCTCAGTGCTATCTGCCCAGAGCAATGTGATCCTGCGATGCTGGACTCCTACCAGGGGTGTGGACTTCATTCTCAGAAAGGGAGGAACTATTCTGTCGGTTCCAAAGTCACGTGAGTCTACAGAGGGCCTAGCTGAATTTCACCTCAATGATCTCAAAGGCAGCCAGGCTGGAGAGTACACCTGTGAATACTACAGAAAAGGGTCGCCTGACATAAGTTCCCAGCGCAGTGACGTCCTTCTGCTGTTGGTTACAGGTAAAGAGGGGCACCTTAGAATGACATATGGTGATTCTTGGAAGGGATGGACAAAAAGAGTCCCATCTCCAGAGTAATTGAGGGTGGAGGGAGAGGGACAGAGACAGGAACAGAATTGAATAGCTTGGTTTTATCCAAGACTCATAGACTAGAAAAATCTCTTTCCTGGAGCCAGAGTGGAACGGAGAGATCAGGGGTCTGTAATCTCCACAGTGCACGGAGACCTCCTGCTGGCAGTACCAGGGTGAGTGGGGGACCTAAGGCTTCTTGTGACCTCAAAGCTTAACTTCTCTTGCAGGATATTTACCTAAACCTTCTCTCAGAGTCTACCATCAGGTGAAGGTGACCGCAGGAGAAAAGGTGACACTTCAGTGCCAGATGCCAGATCGTTTATTTATGCCTATCATGTTCGCTCTACTGAAGGCAGGAACTTCATTGCCCATACAGTATCGGAGTCCAACAGGGAGGGAGACAGACTTCTCCCTTGAGGACCTAACAGGCAGTGACACTGGGAACTACAGCTGCATGTACTATCAGCCAAGGGCACCCTTCCAGGCCTCAGACCCCAGTAATCAGCTTGAGATCTTGGTGACAGGTAAGGTCTTGAATGATTATGAAGAAGTGTTCTGTTTTTTTAATCTGAGACGCTCGTTTTGTTATTCTGTGACTCTCATTTCATTTAATTTCAAAATATTCAGGAAGTACAAACATTTTTGGTTACCTGGATCACTTTTGTAATGCTTGGGTCATGGCCGTAAGTGTGCCCATCACCCATTAGTGTACATTGTACCCATGAAGTAGGATTTTGCCCTTCCTCTCCTCCCCACTCTGCCCTGCTTGATTTCCACTGAGCTTTACTGCCTTCTGTGCACACGTGCGCTCACTGGTGAGTTGTAGTTCAACAGTGAGCACGTGTGGTGTTTGTTTTTCCATTCTTAGGAGAACGGTCTCCAGTGCCATTCAAATTGTTGCAAAAGGCATTGAGTCATCCCTTTATGGCTGTACATATTTCACATTTTATTATGTGTAATCCACTCATGAATTCATGGGCACTTCAGTTGATTCTGCACCTTTGTGACTGGGAATGGTGCCACAATAAACATTTGGGTGCAGGTATCTTTTTTATTAAAAGATTTCTTTGCCTTTTGGTAGATACCAGTAGTGGGATTGCTGAAATGAGTGGTAGGTCTACTTTTAGTTTTTTCAGGAATCTCCACGCTGTTTTCCATTAAGGCCTTACTAATTCACAGTCCCACCAACAGGGTATAAGCCTTCCTTTTTCTCTGCATCCATGCCAGCATCTATTGTTTTTGGAGTTTTTAGTAAAAGCCATTCTAACAGGGGTAAGATGATATCTCATTATCTCTTTAATTTTCATTTCCCTGATGATTAGTGATGTCAAGCATTTTTATATGCTTATTGGCCATTTGTCTATCTTCTTTTTTGTTTTGTTTTGTCTGTCTTTTTGGAAAAGCTTCTGTTTATGTCTTTTGCCTACTTTCTAATGAGGCTTTTTGCTTTTCTCTTGCTGATTTGCTTGCGCTCTTTGTAGATTCTGGATATTAGACCTGTGTCAGACGTATAGGTTGCAAATATTTTCTTCCATTCTGTATGTTGCCTGTTTGCTCTGTTGATGATTTCCTTAGGTTTACAGAGGCTTTCTAGTTTAATCAGGTCCCATTAATTTTGTTATTGTTGCTGTAATCACCCATGGGGTCTTATTAGTTGCCTAGTCTGTTATACTGTGATATCTTAGAAGTGTTTTTACTACATTTTCTTCTAGAATTCTTATGGTTTCATGGTTACATTTAAGTCTTTTATCCATCTTGAATTAATATTTTGCGAGTGGTATGAGATAGGGGTCCTGTGTCATTCTTCTGCATGTGGCCTTCCGGTTTTCCCAGCACCACGTACTGACAAGGGCTGCTTCTCCCTGGTATGTGTTACCGTCTGCTTTGTCAAATATCAGTTGTGATTCTTGTTTCTTCATCATTTGTACTATCCTCTCTCTTGAAAATCTTCCTTTTCATAATTTCCACTACTTTTTTTGCTATTGTTCTGCATCGTTGGATAATCTCTATACTTCAGAGTGATGACTCCCAGGCTGGGCTTGGTGGCTCACACCTGTAATGACAGCAGTCCCAGAGGCCGAGGTAGGTGGATTGCTTGAGCTCAGGAGTTTAAGACCAACTTGAGCAAGAGCAAGACCCTCGTCTCTAAAAAAAAATAAAAAAAACTAACCAGGCATTGTGGCGGGTGCCAGTAGTCCTGGCTACTTGGGAGGCTAAGATCACTTGAGCCCAAGAGTTTGAGGTTGCTGTGAGCTACGAGGCCACAGCACTCTACCCAGGTGACAAAATGAGACTTTCAAACAACAACAACAACAACAGCAAAAAAAAGAAAGGTGACAAATCCTGCTACCATCAGAATTCCTTCTACCATTCTCTGCATCTCTCAGAGTGTTGATTTTTCTTGGTGCTAGAGATTACTCTCGCAACAATTCTTTCTCATTTGTAGACCATGGTGTTTCACAGCCTCCTGCTTTGGTGTTGTGGCTGTGCCATCTACTCCTGTTTCCCTGTGCTGACTGCTAGAGTTCTTGTAAAATGACCTGTGGTTCCTTCCCAGAGTTCTACCTCAAGGCCGTGGTGCACATTCTTTTTGCTCAGCTTTGTAAATTTTCCTTTAAGCTGCTGAGGGTCCCCAGAGGGTCCGACTGTTTTATAGGCAGAAATGAAGGTTTGTCTGGTCCATGCTGAGAGGTGGAGAGAGCTTCCCTTTGCTTCACTTTCCTTCGGTGGTGGCATAATTACGTATCTTTCCCTGCGGATTTTGCCTGCAGGGAGCACTGTTTCTGGGTTTAGAGATGAACTTGGTGCTAATTGGGATGTCTGAGATGAGATGATACAAATGCAAGATTCCCTTCAGGAACTGGGGCCAATGCCAAGGTGCAGGGATGCTGAGATACACAGTGACCCTGGTGCTTAGCTCACCTAGATGCAAACTGTCTTAAACTCACTACCTGAACAGCATTTTGCACTGCGAGGAGGATGCTGGTCCAGCCAGTGCAATTCAGTGTTCTTTGGAGCTCTTTGCTTATTTGTGTTACTCCTAAGGCTAATTACTAATACATGAGAGGTGGGGGGAGGAAAGAAATGAGGAAATGAGGAGAAGACCAAATAAAATAAAAGAAGAGAGGGAGGGCAGAGTGAATATAAAGGAGAGGAGATATGCTGTGTACTCCCCACGTTGTATCCGTTAGGTGGAATTAGCCATATATACTGTTTTATATTAATATGTAGTATAATATATACTGTTATATATTAATCTGAAATAGGGCGGTGCCCATAGCTCAGTGGGTAGGGTGCCAGCCACATACACCGAGGCTGGTGGGTTTGAACCCGGCTGGGGCCAGCTAAAACAACAATGACAACTGCAACAACAACAACAGAATAGCGGGGGGTTGTGGCAGGTGTCTGTGGTCCCAGTTACTTGGGAGGCTGAGGCAAGAGAATCACTTAAGCCCAAGAGTTTGAGGTTGCTGTGAGCTGTGATGCCATAACACTCTACCCAGGGCAACAGCTTGAGACTCTGTCTCAAAAAACTCCAAGCAATAATAATAAATAAAATAAAATAAAAAAATATATATTAATCTGAGGGCAGTACCTGTGGCTCAAAGGAGTAGGGCACCAGCCCCATATACCAGAGGTGGTGGGTTCAAACCCAGCCCCAGCCAAAAACTGCAAAAAAAAAAAAAAAAGTATGTCTGAAATAATAAAGAATTCAAGTAGCAAATATATAATTATGAAATTTAAACATGTTATGATAGTTAATAAAAAAATTACCACAATTTTTTTTTCAAAAGATAAAGGAACATTCACTACAACTCCCCCATTAAAATATTTTATTTTCACAGATTGAAACTTTAAACTTTAGGCTAGGTGATGTGGCTCATACCTATAATCCTAGCACTCTGGGAGGCTAAGGTGCGAGGATTCCTTGAGCTAAGGAGTTTGAGAACATCCTGAGCAAGAGTGAGACACTGTCTTTACTAAAAATAGAAAAATTAGCCTGGCATTGTGGTGGGCATCTGTAGTTCCAGCTACTCAGGAGGCTGAGGCAACAGGATTGCTTAGGCCCAAGAGTTTGAGGTTGCTGTGAGCTATGATGGCATTCTATCTAGGGTGACAGTGAGATTCTGTCTCAAGAAAAGGATAAAAACCTTTAAACTTTAAATTGAAGTTAAGTTAAAATTTTATTTACTTATTTATTTATTTTTGATACAGAGTCTCACTTTGTCCCCCTGAGTTGAGTGCCATGGCATCCTAACTCACAGCAACCTCAAACTCTTGAGCTCAAAAAATCCTCTTGCCTCAGCCTCCTGAGTATCTGGGACTATAGGTGCCCACCACAACGCCCAGGTATACTTGTTTTTTTAGAGATGAGGGTCTCGCTCTTGCCCAGGCTTGGTCTCAAACTCTGGAGCTCAGGTGATCCACCAACCTAGTCCTCCCAGAGTGCTGGGATTACAGGCATCAGCCACTCTGCCAGCTCCAAGTTAAAACTTTAAAGTATAGTTCTGACTGGCCAGGAAATGCAAGTGGGTGTGAGAGTCAGCTTTGGCAGATGTATTTGGAAAGGAGAGGCATCCTTTACAGCCAGTGCTAATGCCCATCTCTCGGTTTCCCTAGGTACCAACTCAAGTAACTCTTCCAGCGGCCCCTCCAGAGGCTCCTCCAGTGATTCCTCCACTGACTCCTCCAGGGACTACACCCAGGGTAACCTGATCCGACTGGGTCTGGGTGCCCTACTCATGGTTATTATGGCAGCTCTCCTGTTTGAAGCCTGGTATAGCCCGAAGGAGTCTCCAAGTGGATCCAGCTAACATAACTGAGCACTTTTCTTTTTTTATGGGCTGTTGTAGATATATGGGGCTCTCCCCTACCCCCCAGGCATATTGAAATATAATCAACAAATAAAACCTAAACTGTATTTGTGTATAATGTGATATTTTGATATATCCTATTTTTATTTGTCAATTATACCTTAATAAACCTCAGGGAAGGGGAATCTTCCTACTAAGTAAATAAATAATTATGTACCAATTAAGTAATTTCACTGATTTTTTTTTTTATATCCTTGGTTCAAACCTGCATTTTATTGCCTTTTTTTTTTTTTTTTTTAGACAGAGTCTATGTCGCCCTCAGTAGAGTGCATGGTGTCACAGTTCACAGCAACCTCAAACTCTTGGGTTTGATTCTCTTGCCTCAGCCTCCCAAGTAACTGGGACTACAGGTGCCTGCTACAATGCCCAGTTATTTTTGTTGTTGCTGTCATTGTTGTTTAGTAGGCCTGGGCTGGGTTCGAACACTCCAGCCTTGGTATATGTGGCTGGTGCCAAGCCTATTGTCTTTCTTTTTTATTGTTGCAGGTTAATTGAGGGTAAAAAGAATTAGTTTACACTGTTTACATTTGTTAGGTAAAGTCCCTCTTATAATTGTGTCCTGCCCCCAAGAGGTGTGTCATACCCCATAACATTATGTACCTTAAGTGGGAACAACCCCATCCCCTCCCCTCTCCCCACTCCCTTGTTCCCTTGCCTCCCACCTTGAATTGATTTGAATCTTTCTCTTTTGTGGGTATGTATTATTTAGAACATCTACTGGATTCATATTAGAATTGAGGGCTCGGCGCCTGTGGCTCAAGCAGCTAAGGGGCCAGCCACATACATCTAAGGTGGCGGGTTCGAATCCCCAGCCCGGGCCCGCCAAACAACAATGAC